GCCTCAGGTCACTTCCTAGTCCTTTCCCTTCAGTCAATGCTGTGACCCTCACTGAAGTGACCTTCAGTAAGATTTTAGGATGTTTTTAGAGGTTTGGGAATTATTGGGGGGGGGGTTCTTTTTGATATTTTGTCAGACTTGGGTCCCTGACTTCTCCCTCTTCTTTTCCATACAGTTTCAAGCCCTAGTCCATACCCCACATTTGAAAACCAGAGTTTGGTATTCATTTATTTTTAAAATTTATCTTTTAGAGAGGTGCCTCACTCTTGCCAAGTGCCTGCCCATCCTCTAGAGGCTTGGGGCTTGAGCTGGGGACTGGCAGAGCTGAGCAAGCCTGGGAACTCCCATGTGTATCTGGGTCCAAGGCAGGCTGGCATGCTGACATGGTTTGCTGGAGGATGGAGCTTGGGTATTTGCTAGTGTGTTTGAGTCCCAGATGGGGGAGGGTTAGCATCCCAAGCTGTTTCGTGTGCTGGAGGATTGGATCTAGTGTCCCAGGTGGGCAGGAAAGACTTTAAGCCAGCACATTAGCTCATCAGAAGACCAGGCTGGGGAACCCATGTGCTCATGGGGCTGTGGGTTGTTCAGAGAAGGAGGTATAGGATGTGTGGGAGGGAGGACCACTAAAGGAATACTTTACAGGTGAGGAATGACCTTCTCGGGGGACTTTCACTGACATGGCCACTGTACTTGCAGGTAAGCGATGGTGGGAGGCTGAAGCCGAGGGGTTTGGAGGAGGAAAGCTAGAGAACCTTTCTGGGTCAGACAGATGCACACACCCACTTGGGAGACCTGAACTAGGCTAGCTAGCATGACCACCACTGATCATCATCCCACCATCCACCATCATCCTACCACCACCATCACCCATGCTAGATCGAGGATCAGGAGTCTACCTGAAAGGTCTAGATCATAAAACAGGTAACATTAGCCTGGGCCATAACATTAACCAACATGCAAGAGAACCGTATCTGGGAGCAAATTCTGTGGGGTGATTTGTGGGCTCACCCCTGTGGGACTGCCATAACAGATGGTTTGCTCAAGAGCTAAGAGGGTGATGGACTGATCTAAGCACGACCATGGAACCCCCAGACACTCATGGGTGCTGGAGTTGGGAACAGGCTGGGCTGGTCCAGGCTGCACCACCCATGGTACACACAGGAATAGAGTGTGGGATGGGCTGGGCCTCAATACCCACCAGCACACATAAAGGCTGAGAAAGTGGGGATAGACAGTGCTGTGTAAAGACCTAGCACTCACTGGCACACATGAGATCTGGGTCTGGGAGTGTGCCTGGTGAGGGAACTGCTATGATGGGCTGTAACTCACACTAGTGAGCATGTGAGTCAGGCCTGGGTGTTGGTCAAGTCAGATCAGACCAAACCGGGGGAGGGGGTGGTGGCAGTGGACCGGGAAGGGGCAGGGCAAACCTTAGCACACAGGCATGTGAGGAGACCAGATGGAATGTAGGCCATGCTAGGCTAAGCTATCACACCTCTGGTTTGCATGAAAGCCAAGGATGGGGAAAACTGGGCAGGGCTAGGCTGCAGTACCCGTCAACAGAGTTGGGACTGGAGCTGGGCTGGGTCACGTCAGATTGCAGAAACTGATGGCAAAGGCCAAGACAGGGGATGGGCTATGCCAGGCTGGGTCAGATCAACCACCACTACATGTAATATCTGTGGCTAGGATCAGGCTTAGTTGGAGAGCTAAGGGGATGTTGAGCTGGGTTGAAGTTCCCACTGGTGAGCATGAGAGCTGGAATGGGGGCTATGAATTGGGCTGGACTCCATTACCTGCTGGTGCTCACAAGGGCCAGAGAAGGTGAAGGTCAGGCTGGCCTAGGTCTCAGCACTCGCTGAGCTGAGTGTGAGGCTGAAACAGGCATGGCTGGGCTGTAGCACCCAACAGTAAGTGCCAGAATGGGAGAGGGTTAGTTGGGCAAGGCCAGTGCATCTGCCAGGTCTGGAGGTGGGCCAAGCCAGGTTGGGCCAAGTATCCACCAGTATATGTGAAATCTGCCACTGGGAGGTGGCCTGATAGAGGAGCTCAGGGAACTCCGTCAGGATCCAATCCCTGCAGATGAGTGCAAGAACCAAGGCTGGGAGAAGCCCAGACCAGGCCAAATCACATATACGTGTGGGTCAGGTCTGGGGGTAGGATAGGCTGAGCCAGTTCATAGCACCCACTGGCAGATGTGAGAACCAGGACAGGGTACAGAACAGGCCAGGTCGGGCCACAACACCAGCTAGTTCACATTAGGGTCAGGATTAGGGACAATGCAGGCCTTGCTCGGCTGTAGCACCAACCAGCATGAGATGAACTGGGGGCAGACCAGGATAGGCCAGGTTGTAGCACCCACTGGCAAAATGCCAAGGTGAGGTAGGTCATGCCGCACTGGGCTACAGCATACGTAATGCTCAGTGGAGAGAGGCAAGTTCAGTAGGGGAGTAGCATGGGCTCCCCTGCTGGGCCACTGCTCTGGTTGATGAATGTGAGAACTGGGACCAGGGGAAAAGCAGGCTGGGCAAGGTACAACACCCATTGGCCTGCATGTGGAGGAGAGTCAGGCTGGGCTAAGCAACCATTTCCACTGGTGCATGCATGAGTCAGAGTAAGTGTGGGCTAGTTGGGCTTTGTCAATGAGTTCGCTGGCAAGGTTAGGAATGGGAGCAAGTCCTGTCAAGCTAGACCATAGAACATCACCTGGAAAGTGCAAGATTTGGGGCTGGGAGTAGGACTAGAGAACTGTGGGAACATTCCTGATGGGCTGTGGCTCCCACTGGTGAGAGGTGGCTGGACCTGGCTGGACAGGTGGTAGCAACTGCCAGTATAAGTTGAGTTTGATGGCGGGGTCACTTGGGTTGGGTTAGCCAGTAGCACCCATTGGTGTGCACCATAGCTGAATCGGATGCAGAATAGAACGGACCAGTCTGCTACACACACTGTTATGCACAGGAACCAGGGCTGGGGGTGGACCTGGTGGGAGTGATTGGGGGTTGCTCCAGTTGGGTTGCAGTTCCCACTGGTGCATGAGGGAAAGTATGCATGAGGGCAGGGTTGGGCTGGGCCACAGTACTCATTGGTTTGTGTAAAAGATGGGGCTGAACAGAGAACTGACCCAGCAACTGCAACCACCAGTGTGAATGTAGGCTGATGTGTGTGATGGACTAAACCAGACCCTGGGCTGGCTGGCATACACCGGAGTCAGGTCTGGGGTCACTTCAGATGAGGTTTCTTCGGGGACCTTCCAAACTGAACCACTGAACTCAGAACTCTAACCATGGGGAAAATCACACGATCTGTGGCCTGATCGTGGAGCACATGTGTCAGAACTGGGCCTCCTCAGTTACTGAAGCCAGTGCAGTGGACGGCATGCCCAGATGCACATGGAGGATATGGCAGTCCACTGGGGCCCGCAGAGGATATCCAGTACCACAGCAGAGGATGGAAGGTAGAACAAATTGGACAACTACCCCAGCCAAGCACTGACAGCAAGCATTTGGGCAAATGAAAACTAAGTGGACCATGTCAACCAATGGACCTTGGAAGGATTTTCTCATCCTTGGAGCAATGAAACCAACAGCATTTCAGAACTACTTGAAACCATCTGAGCAGTACCCTCAGAGCATGCTCCACATGAGGGATCCTGGATGACACTGGGTGGCCACTCCCCAGCCCCGTCACCAGGTATTGATGCATCTGGGATGCTGGGTATGACTTTTCCCCTATTCTTCCTTCTGCAGGAAGGGAAGAAGAAAATTGGAAATAATTATCTCACTCACTTTCATCTATTCCGTGACTCTTCCCACCCTAATCAGTGTTTCAGATGGGCATGCATCATTCTCAACTATGTAAACATCATCAAAAAATAAAATATCTATCTATCTCTATATCATTTTTTAAAAAATTTATTTATTTATTGGAAAGTCAGATATACAGAGAGGAAGAGAGACAGAGAGAAAGATCTCTGTCCGATGATTCACTCCCCAAGTGAGCGCAACAGCCGCTGCTATGCTGATCCGAAACCGGGATCCAGGAACTTCTTCCAGGCATCCCACATGGGTGCAGGGTCCCAAAGCTTTGGGCCGTCCTCGATTGCTTTCCCAGGCCACAAGCAGGGAGCTGGAAGGGAAGTGGAGCTGCCGGGATTAGAACCGGCGCTCATATGGGATCCTGGCGCATTCAAGGCGAGGACTTTAGCCGCTAGGCCATGCCGCTGGGCCTCTCTATATCATTTTTAAAGAGTTACAGAGAGGGAAGGAGAGAAATCCTTCCACGTAGGATTCACTCCCTAAATGGCCATAACAACCAGATCTGGGCCTGACTAAAGTCAGGAGCTAGGGATTCCTTCTGGGTCTCCTACATGGATACAGGGGCTCAAGCACCTGAGCTTGCCTCCACTGCATTTCCAGGTGCATTAGAAGGGAGCTGGATGAGAAGTGCAGCAGTCAGAACTCAGATAAGCATCCATATGGTATGCCAGTGTTACAGGCAGCGGCTTTGCCTGTTACCATAATGTCAGCCTTGGGATTTATTTCTTATTTTAAAATAATTTAAAATTCATAATAAAGTTACATATTGCTTAGTGACAGAGATATAGTCTGAAAAACATGTTCTTAAGGAATTTCATTGTTGTGCAAAGATCACAGAGTGAATTTATACAAACCTATATGGCACAGCCTGACATATGCCTGGGCTATTTTATATGGCCTATTGCTTCCAGACTATAGCATGTTACTATACTGAGTACTATGGGCAAGAATAACACAATGCTAAGTATTTGTGGTTAGAGTCTACGGGAATGTAAGCTGTTCTGCACTTCAGTAAGTAAAGAGTGAATCAATGGGAAAGCCTAGAATATTATTACACACTAACAGACTTCACAAACACTGCACACAAAGATGCGTAATAAGCAAGACTGAGAACCAAAATTAATAAGTAAGGGAAAGAGTCCACATGAGAGCTGCACCTTGTTTTCTTCAGACAGTGTTACATACCTGTTAGTGCTAGATACGAAGCAATGTACCGCTTTTCCAGTCCATCTCTAGCACTTTGAATTGCACCAAAAATTGGAGGTATGATCATAATCAAGTTACTCACTGTATTCCCTGCAGAAGAGAAACACAGAAAAAGGTACTTAAGCAATCAATGACATTTTACTTTTTAAGATTTATTCATTTTTATTGGAAAGGCAGATATACAGACAGAAGGAGAGACAGAAAGATAGATCTGTCTACTGGTTCACTCCCCAAGTGGTTGAACTAATCCGAAGCCTAGGGCCAGGAGCTTCCTCCCGGTCTCCCATGCCAGAGCAGGGTCCCATGGCTTTGGGCCATCCTCTATTGCTTTTCAAAGCCACAAGCAGGAAGCTGGAAGGGAAGTGAAGCAGTCTGGACACAAATTGGCATTCATATGGGATTCCGGCTATGTAAAGCGAGGATTTAGCCACTAGGCTATCATGCCGGGCCCAATCAATGACATTTTAAATAAAGATACATTCACCTTGCCACAAACAACAGTTAAACAAGTGAGTTCTCAGAAAGATGGTGGGAAGATATTTTCAAGCTGCTCTAGGAAGTGATTCTGTACTCAACAACAAAAATCCTCACAAGAATCCAAGTAAGATAAATCCAAGTAAGATAAAGATAAATCAAACTAAGATTTTTCCACAGCATATTCATGAAAGGCAATTATAAATTCTGGCATCAAGTGGAAGAAAAGGATCTTAGAAAGAACCTCAGAGATAATGTGCACGCACACACACACACACACACGCACACACACACACACATAGAGAATTGGAGACAGTAGCCGATGCCTATGCTGCTGAGTCCATGCATACAGTATTAAAAATCTATAGAATTAACGTTGGAGTTAAAAAGCAAAAGCAACAAACTGAGGTTTTTTATTCTGCATGTTACTGCAGTGTGAATGTGGCTTATCCCCTAGAGTTCACATGTTGGATATACAGCCCCCAGGGTGGCAGTATTAGGACTAGTGGGATAGAATGTCTATCAGCTACTGCATGCTTCAGTTTCAGCTCAACACTAATGTACCTAGAAGTCAAGTGCTGGGAACTGGGTTCCTTGAACCTGGGGCTCAAGTCTAACTTAGCTAGGGCTCTTACAACATTATTTGGATTTTTGTCTAATTTTAAATGTACTGTCCTAATAAGATGAAAAATTACAAACCATTTAGGGGAAAAAATAAAGTAGAATAAAATAGCTCCAGGTAGTTTCACAGATGTAATAACATTTGAGCTAAGACCCTATAAAGAAAGAACTAAGGCTATTAAGTACAAGGTATTTGACATTCACATTTTACGTGTGCTTAGTTGCTCTCATAATGACTTTGTGAAGTACTTACGTCTCCATTAAACAAATGTAGGCAGGGATACAATACCTGTGCGCCTCATGTGGACTAGATCAGGGAAAAGCCAGGCTGGGCTGATTGTTCCTACTGGTGCAAACAAAATTAGAGTGGGTGAGGGTTGTTGGGGCTTAGCCACAGCATCAGCTGGCAGAAGCTGGCAATGGGGGCTAATTCTGTCAAGTCAAACCACAGAACCACCTGGAGAGTGCATAATGTGGGAGTGGAGGAGGCCTGGGAGGGAAACAGTGGGCTCCTCCCTCTTGGGTTACCACTTCTAAGGGAGGGCATAAAACTAGGACAGCAGCTGGGGTGGCTAGACAGAAAGGCACTCAACAACATCCATGAGGGCTGGAAGTTGAGCTGGTTAGATGGAACTAGGCTTTAACACCCATTGGCATGTATGAGAGCTGAATGGGATGTGGGACAGACTGGACTACTGCTACACATACTGGCAGCATGGGAACCAGGGTAGGGGGCAGGCCTGCTGGGGGTTATTGTGGGTCACTCCGACTAGGCTGCAGCTCCTACTGGTTTATATGAGGGCCGGGTATGTGCTGGGCAGCACCAGGCTGGACTGCAACACCCATTGGTTCCAGTGGAAGTTGGGAGTGAAAACAGAACCAACCCAGCAATTGCAACCACCAGTTGATTGGGGTGATGGACTGTGCCGGGCCCTGTACTGGCTACTATACACAAGAATCAGGTCCAAGGACACCTCAGACAAAGTTTCTTTGGAGATCTCCCCAATAGAATTGCCAGACTCAGAACCCTAACCACGAAAAGACAGGACAGAACAAGTCAATCAACCACCTCAGCAATATGTTGGCAGTGAAAAACTGGGCAAATGGAGACTCTAAGATGGACTATGTCAATCAGTGGAATCCTCAAGGACCTCATCGTGCTTGGAGTGGCAAGATTGGCAGCGATTCATAACTGTTGAACTATCAAAACCACTTGAGCAAGAATCTCAGAGCATGCCCCACATCAAGGACCCGGGGTGAGTGGGAGACTGGGTGGAACTTCACCCTTAAAATCTCCCTTTACCTCAGATACATGAAGGAAACAATATGGAAATAATAATCTTACCCATTTTCCTGTAGCCCTTGAACCTTTTTACCCTAACTAACTATATAAAGATTGTCAAAAGTATAATAAAAAAATGGAAAATAAAGATTTATTTTAAAATTATGCATCTAAGAATTTGCCTATATCAATTGCTATGATCAATTTCATTTCATGTGTTAATTAAGTTCATACGTAGTTCCCTGAGAATTTTTAGTGCTCATTGGTATTTGACATCATCTGGACATTGAAAATTTAAGTTTTATTTTTTCCCTTTCCTGTGCTTACCTCCCAGAAGCCCTATGCACACTGCTTCCATACTCTGAACCTGTGCTGACTCCCCTAGCTCAGCCTTCCAAGACAGCCAAGTGAAGGCCTGCTCGCTCTGCCGTTGGTGTATTGTCATTGTTTCAGCACCAGAGGGCGCTCCATCACAAGATGGTGCGTTTTTCAGAATGAACCAGGATGATAACATTTCCTGTCAGCCTGTTCCTGAGCGCAGAGCAGAGGGCAGCCGGCCTGTGGCCAGAACCATGGAATTCCAACTGGCTCGGGGCCTCACTGTGGAAGTACCAGCCCTGGGTTTTTGCGCAAGCTCTTTCCTTTTGTCAAGAAGGTCATTAACGGGCCCGGCGCGGTGGCGCAAGTGGTTAAGTCCTCGCCTTGCACGCCCGGGATCCCATATGGGCGCCGGTTCTAATCCCGGCAGCCCCGCTTCCCTTCCAGCTCCCTGCCTGTGGCCTGGGAAAGCAGTCGAGGACGGCCCAAAGCTTTGGGACCCTGCACCCGCGTGGGAGACCCGGAAGAGGCTCCTGGCTTCGGATCGGCATAGTATCGGCCCGTTGCGCTCACTTGGGGAGTGAATCATCGGACGGAAGATCTTCCTCTCTGTCTCTCCTCTCTGTATATCCGCCTTTCCAATAAAAAATAATAAAAATAAATCTTTAAAAAAAAAAAAGAAGGTCATTATCTGTTGTACTGCCTGAAATTTGAGCAGCTCTGTGGTCAACTATGCCACAGTGCAGATCACACCCAGAGCCCAGAGCCAGTAGAGATGAGCACAACATGAAAACAAGCCAGGCCCACACGGCCTGGAGCTGAGAACCGACAAACTGACAACCAGCGCAACTCACTGCGCAAAAGCTATGGATGGCCGACAGTCCCCCAGCAACCAGATGGGTTTCTAAAATAGAGAAATAATGAGTTTTCTTCTTTCCTCCAAATTTCCTATAATGTGGTTATACTGTTTTTATAACTTAAAATTAAAGTGCCAAAAGGACAAGTGATAAATTAGGGCTAACTTACTACTGCTAAGAGTTTAACTTGATTTGGGTTTGACGGCTCACAAAATTCAAAACACGTTCTTTTCTGGAAATAAAAGCTAATGATCACAGTGTACTATTCCATAACATTTAAAAGTTTCTTTTTCTTCAGGAGGGCAACCCTGTTTAAATATAGATTTAAGAGATTAAAAACATTGAATATCATGCTACTTTTCTACCACCCCCCCATATTCTCCTTATATAATACAAATTATAGGCAAAGTGGAAAGCACTCCAGTGATTTTAAAATTTCTTCATGTCATCTTTGAGCAAAGGACAGGAAACACTCAAATGCTAAAGTACTGGAAAGAATAGTTAGAAGGAAAAAACAACGCACAACAGGGTAAACTTGGAAACGCTGAAAGCAGAAGACATTTGCCTTAGCCTGACAGCAGGTGGAATCAGTGCGCCCAAGGGTCTGAGGAGCTCTTCAACCCTTGGCAGTATGCAGAGCCCTGAAGAGATCAGAGAAAGTTTGTAACTCCATTGTCTTTACGGTTGTATAACCATCACCCAGAGCTAAGGAGAAAGTGGAGGCATTAAAGCCCGGTGAAGCCGGAGGAGTGATGTGTCCTGCTTCAGTGCCGTTGTAAGGGACTTGCTGCACAGTCAGCAAGCCAGCTAGGTGAAAGCCACGCAGCACTCTCCACAGTAAGTTCATCTGAGGAAATATGTTACCGATTTTGTCTAAATAATGTTAAACATTCTCAGAACATCAGAGACTTCAGGGCTGGAAGGCTAAGCATTTGGGAGGCCGCCTAATTTATCATCCCAGTTATACTAGATACCATTTTGTTCGTGTCTACGCTTACTTTCTAGCTGTGTGAACTTGTGCAAACTAATTTATGTTACTTATTCTCCTGATCTGCAAAATGAGAAAAGCAGTTACACTTAAATTATCTCAGTAATTAAATAGGAATAAAATATGAACAAGACACATAAATACCATTTCTGATATGAGAAAGGTCCACTGAATCTTATAAAGGAAATGTCATAGTCTTGCTATGCTGAGCTTTAGCTACCACCTGGCAATTGCCTTCTACTTCAGACCAGCAATATTTAAAAACAAACAAATAGGCCCAGTGCAGTAGCCTAGCGGCTAAGATCCTTGCCTCACACATGCCAGAATTCCATATGGGCGCCAGTTGGTATTCAAGTAGCCCCGCTTCCCGTCCAGCTCCCTGCTTGTGGCCTGGGAGAACAGTGGGGGACAGTCCAAAGTAGTAGGACCCTGCACCTGCACACACGGGAGACCCAGAAGAGACTCCTGGCCTCGGATCAGTGCAGCTCTGGCCATTGCAGCCACTCGGGAAGTGAATCATTGGATAGAAGATCTTCCCCTCTGCCTCTCC